GGCCCCGCCCTCTCACCTTGCCTCGGCCTCAGAGTCCGTCCGCTTCGCGCCGGCTGTCGGCTGCGCCTGCGCCGTGGCCTGCCGAGGGCCCGGGGCCCCGATCTTGAAGCTGGTGCCGAGTGGGTAGGGGTAAGGGGTAGCCTTCGGCCTAGGGTACTTAGCTCCCGGGGAGCCCGGGGAACCCACGTCTGGAGCCATCCTAACAGGTGATGGTCGCCTCATGTGTCCTACAGGGACGCTAGAGAGGCAACCCAGAGGGAGAGGTTCTTCCTCCTCCCTTGTAGGGTGAGAGACATCTGGAGGCAAGGCTTCTTGACTCGTTCCCACTGCCACAGCCGCAGGACCCAGGACAGATCAGAAGCAAGGGATTTTAGTGCTGGACAGGACCTGGGAGTTCATCTTGCCCAGCCCCTTCTTATGAAGCGGACGCTGAGCCTTAGAAAGAACGTGACCCGCCTGGGCAACTTGGCGAGACCTCATCTCTACAATACATTAAAAAATCAGCCGGGCGTGGTAGCGCACGCCCGTAGTTCCAGCCACTTGGAAGGCTGAGGCGGCAGGATCGCCGGAGCCCAGCAGGTCGAGGCTGCGGTGGCCGGGAGCGGCCACTGCACTCCAGTCTGGGCGACAGAGTGAGACTCCAACTCAAAAAAAGAAAGAAAGAAAGAAAGAACGTGACCTGCCCAAGGTCACGGAGCCTACTAGAAGCAGATCTAGAACCCAGACTTCCTTCCTCCCCTGGTGTTCTTTCCACAGGGTGTAAAGCGGTCCGTATGTGGCAGGTTGTAGGACTGTGTCTGCTAGGGAATCATAACAAAGGTTATTTCAAATGAAGCAACTGAGTTCTAGGTCCAACTCCATGTGACTCAATAGGTGAATGTCAAGTCACCAAAAGTCTCCCTTTATGCATTTGCAAATGGAATGACTGGACTTGTAATCAAAACATGTAAGTATGCAGCCTTCATCTTCCTCCTCCCTCCCCCAGCACTATTCCCTATCCTTCTAAAGACCTTATGATTTGTAAATTTCTCCTTGGACATGATTGTGCAGGTTAGAGTAATAGTTACAGAGGAGAACTTTAATGTCCTCGGAGTCTAAATTGATCTATACAATAATAAAGAGCTGAGTTAGGCAGGAGAGAGTAAGAGAGTTACACTAAAGAGAGTTTCAGGAGAGAGGAACAGGCTGAAGAAGGGAGATGAGAAACATGAGGCAGCAACTGTCGCGATGAGAGGGACTTAGAGGAGTTAAATGGTTGAAAGGATTGTTACGCCTTCTTATAGCATACTTCTCCTCTTTGGTACCTCTTTTAAAATCTTCCCCAGAAATCTAAATTAGTTTGCATTTCTCTTTTGGATATCAGAACTGTATTTCTTCTGCATACCATACTATGTGGAGACTAGCCCTAAGGCAGCCAAGATAAATTGAAGTCACAGACTAAATGGTGTCTGAAGTTTCCTCCTCTTCAAAATTAAATGATTTACCCAAAGTTTCTTCTGCTATGGACATTTTCATATATGTAAGTTTCTATTAAGCCTAACCACTTAATCTTTGAGATCTCAATTCTGACAGCTGCTTCTCTGTGTCTGCATGGAACATTCACTGCCTTAGATGGATTAAACGAGTAAGAGCTTGCATTGCCATATTGGTATACATATTTTTATGCTCCAGACCTGGAAGTATGCACCTCACTTTTGTCTACATTCCATCAGCCAGTACTTGATCACAAGGGAGGCTAGGAAGTGTGTCTGTATCCAGAAGGAAAAGAGAAACATATTGGTGACAGCTAGATGGTTCCTGCCACACCCCGCTTCATGGCACTCATCAGACTTATAATTTTTCATTTACTTGGAATGGTTATTCAATATGCATCTCACCCATTAGACTGTATACCACGAGGAAAGCTTTTAGTATATTGGAGGATTAATACATCCCAGTGGTTAAGAGTGCAGTCTCTGGGACCATACTGCCCAGATTCAGATCCAAACTCCGCCACTTTCTATGTAACATTGCACAAATTACCTGATCTCTCTGTGTCTCAGGGTTTTCCTACATTAAATGAGGATAACATTTCTACTTACTAGAGTTTTGGAAAGGACACCAGGAGATAATGTATGTAAAGCACTTAGAACAGGGCCCAGGATGTTGTAAGTACTCAGTATTAGCTGTTACCATCCTAAATTGGCTTACCCTATGTCTTATTCTTGCTTAGCATTATATACTTACAGCATATTACAGAATAACTGTTCAATAAATATGTATTGAATAATGAACAAACAGAATAACTCTGAAAACTGGTCAGTCTGAATACATTCTTTTAACAATCAATGCCTGACTGTTTTAAAGCAGCCAGAATTAATTTTTCCGTTTTATATTTATCAAATTAGATCTAACAAACTGTGTCTAATGCCACCATGATAAAATGGAATTAAACATAAATCTCTCAAAATGAAAATGTAGCTGAACATCAAGCAAATACATGTAAAAGTCCAAATGTACTAGCCAGTCTTGGTGGCTCAGCCTGTAATCCCAGCACTTTGGGGGGCCGAGGCTAGTGGATTGCCTGAGTCCGACTGTTTGAGACCAGCCTGGGCAACTTGGCAAGACCTCATCTCTACAATAAATCAAAATTTAGCCAGGGGTGGTAGCACGCTCCTGCAGTTCTAACTACTTGGAAGCCTGAGGCGGAAGGATCATCGGAGCCCAGAAGGTCAATGCCAGGGTAGCTGTGAGTGTGCGTGCCACTTCACTCCAGCCTGGGCGATGGAGTGAGACTCCAACTCAAAAAAAAAAGTC